ATAATATTTCTGGAAAGTGGTGGACAAAAATGTGACTTGATAACTGATAGAGTATAGGGGTCTGGACCCACGGCCACATACTCATGGATATAAATGACGAGACGAGAGCCACCGACGGAAAAAATCCCAGAAATGAAGAACTCCAAAAAAGGATCCAATAACTTAGCTCAAGAAATGATCACCGCACCCTGGCCTCCTCGGCCAGGACCTTTAGCAGACATTTTTCGCTCTTTAATTATTAGAATGTAAACATTCAACGGCTCATCACTGTGATTGGGTATCTCAGGGTCAAACCTAGAAGCCTAACATACATTTCCTCTATAAATATTTCCATTGGGGTAGTTGTGGGGGTTAGAAAATCATTTAGTACCTGAATTTTCTTTCATTAGCTTTCACTCTTTTCTAGAACTACTCTATTTGTATAAAGTTACATTAGTAACATTTAGTGACTATAATTGCGTATAAAGTTAGTATAAAGTTACATTAGTAACATTTAGTGACTATAATTGTGTATAAAGTTAGTAACATTTAGTAACTATACTCTATTAGTATAAAGTTACATTAGTAACTTTTAGTGACTATAATTGTGTATAAAGTTAGTAACATTTAGTAATTATATTCTATTAGTATAAAGTTACATTAGTAACATTTAGTGACGATAATTGTGTATAAAGTTAGTAACATTTAGTAACTATACTCTAGTAGTATAAAGTTACATTAGTACTACGTAACATTTAGTTTCACATTTCATTAGTAACATGTAGTGACCATAATTGTGTATAAAGTTACATTACTACGATATATTCACTATAATGTAAATGTTGTGCACAATTGTACTCATTAAAAATTACTAAATTACATTTTTGCTCATAATGTCGTGTGGGCCAGCCCAACTGTAAATTTATTTTGATTAAATTTCACTTTTAATATTTTCTTTAATATTTTGTTCTTTATTTGATATTTGTTCTTTATCTAAAACTCCTGTTGTGCGGGAGTAAATAACTTTGTGTATTTCAGAATAGAACTGTAATAGAATTAAAAATATGTTAATATTTTTCAAACTCGATAGTAGTTACTTGGATTTAGGTAACAAAAACGAGAAAGTCATGTTTTTTAAATTTAGCAACCATATTTAGTCCTGTTTTGGTTATTTTCAAAAAATTTAATAGTACTCCCTCCGTTCTCTAATAGATGGGAGTATAGGCTTTGGCACAAGATTTAAGATGGAATTAATAGGGGTAGGATAAAAGGTGTAGTGGGTTGTGTGTAAAGGAAAAAGTAGGAAAGAGAATGAAAAAGTAGGAAAGAGAATGGGGGTAAATGAGTATATTTATTGAAAAAACTTATCAAAAGTGGAAAGGGAGACAACTAATAGAGAACATCCCAAAATGGAAAGAGGACCAAGTATTAGAGAACGGAGGGAGTATAAATTACGCATTTTGCTCACATGTTTTAAATTATTAAAAAAGTTGCAGAAAAAATTTATAAGTACACCATGTTTGAATGTATTACACATTTACACGTATGAAACCTGGATTGACAGAAAATAAAGCACAAATGGTGACGTTGCATTCAGGACCAAGGAGTGGTGATATTCTTGCAAAAACTATTGGTGCAAATGAACATAATTTGCACCATTTTTTTCTTTTTCATTATTTTCTTTATAAAAAAAATTAGTGCAAATTATGTTCATTTAGGAATTTTTTTATTTTAATGTCTCATTCTCCGTGAGTATTTATTAAAGCCTTTTATTTTGGGCCTTTTGTTGGTGTGTTATCAGACAATTATTTAGTCGTTTCGGAGGATGAAGGAATTATGTGTCTTCCAAAGCAATCTCGCGATCAGTTGTTGTGTTCAACCTCAAGCGTTGTTTTTGGTCACACAGAATCATGGCCATTTTTGGACATACAATATCAATCATGGTCACATCGAAACTAATTGTTTATGATTCCTTAATTTTTGTTGTTTAGTGGTGATCAAACTAGGCACACCCATCAATCATGCCTATTTTGGTCTTCACTATCCGTTATTGTTTGCTTATGGAGAAGACGAATGTCGTGAGGATACTTTTTTGTTCAAATGTAATGTGTTCGCTGGTGGTGGGAGACGAAGAATGAGTGTTAGCGAGTTCCTTGCATTATGTGCGAAAGAACGTTGTGATAATCATTCATCTCTTTTAAAGATGAAAAAACTTTTTCAACAGTTTATTGTTGCCGGCTATACTTTGGTTGAGTTTGCAAGATTGCAATTTGTTACAATGCATAAAAAACAACTTCCTTGCGAGATGTTTAAAGGTTTGAGCGATGCTTTCTTGCGTGATGAAAATGATTCACATACCGAAGGAAAAAGAATTGTTTTGCCTCCGACTTTCACATGAGGGGCATGATATATGAAAGGTTTGAATATGTTTTTAGCCCATGCAAAAATAGTACATTTTGTTTTACATCCCTGCAAAATTATTTTTTTGTTTTCCATCCCTGCAATTTAGGCTACTTTTCTTTTTAGTCCATCACTGAATCCGCTTGACTTCAAAATAACTGTGGCTAATAGATTTCCTCTAATTCTTTGTCATGGTTTTTTTTAGAACGAAGACTAGCCTCTATTCATATCGTAAGATTCAGGATCATTACATCAATCAAAGGAAAAACAAAATCGACACCAACTAGACTCCAACAACTACGACTGTAAACCCTATTATGAGCCTTAGAAACGGTCACCCCTGAAAGAGCAACACGAATCGCTAACCATCTAACGGGCTTGACACAGCCAAACATATTCCAATAGATCCAAACATGTTCAATGACATAAAACAAGGCTAAAATCCCAAATAAACTAACAAACCTAACAACATAGACGATAACAAGAAACCAAATGACAAAATAATGAAAACTTATCGGAAAACTTTCACCGACTCTAGCATCTCACACAACCCATGGCGGTGGTTCAGGAGGAAGCCGTATCTTTGGTACCACTCTAAATGATCCTCCATTGTCGATCATCATCTGGCCTGCTCGAAATCCGTACAACTCTCCTCATCCCCCGCGCGTAGCAAATCCACCGCTAGTGGTCATCTTCATTGCTGTCATGCCCTCACTACCCTGCTCACGAAGAAATCGATCGCCGAACTCTGGCTTCGATGTCGTCAAATTTGGGCAAGGATTCTTGTCAATCTGCCTCAAATCCAATCCTAGCGCCGGACACAGATAAAGGCGATTCACCAGCCGGAAGAACCAAACCTTAGATCTGCTAAGGAAAAACCAAACCCAAGCCTTGCTAGGAGTTTTGATTTCTGGTAGCTAGATGGAATACAGGAGCCTAGGAATTGGCACTAATTAGACTAATTCTTTGTCATGTTATTAAAAATTGTTTTATTTTATTTTTTGAAGGCTTTAAATATATATATTTTCAAAATGTGAATACTTAGTTTTACATTATTTTAACTTTCATATTAGCTTCAAAAAAATTATAAAATGACAAATTTAAATATTTCTAGTAAATCTATGTAACTGACAATAATTGTTTTCTAAGTAGAGTGGTTTTGGAATTAGAGAAGGGCTAAAACCAAAATAGTGCATATTACAGGGATGAAAAAAAAATTGCAGGGACCTAAAACAAAGTTTATCATATTTGCAAGGACTAAAAACGTATTTAAGTCTATATGAAACAAAATTATCAGAATGTTATGGTCATATGCAGGTGGATAGGTTATCCAGATTTATTTATAACATTTACCTGTAACTAAGGTGGCCAGAAATTGATCGTTTTCTCTTTTCAAGAAATCTAAAACCACAAGATCGCATGGATGTAATTAGTCGGGTGTTCAGGATAAAGCTTGACGGCTTAATTCAGGATTTGCGGGAAAAAAAGTCATTTGGCAGTGTCTAGGTAGGTAGTGCACATAAACTTTTATTTTTAATTTGTTATGTCATGAAAAATGTTAACAAATTGGCTTATACTTTTGCAGTGGTTTACACGATTGAATTTTAGAATCGTGGTTTGCCTCGTGCCCATATTTTGTTGTGGTTGTCGGTTGAGGATAAGTTTCCCCATAATTTTCATTGTTTAAAAAAGTGACGTTTTGAACGATTGTTATTCGTGATTAGGCTTTGTTAAAAAAAACATACCATATTTTGACCATCGTTCGGAGCTGGAAAGGTAGCCATATTTTTGACATCACAAATCACAAGGGGGAGGGGGGGTATCGGCCACATTGTTGAATATTCCGTAGGAAAAATCATTATTCGCCACAATTCCTTAGACTGTTGATTCTATCCTTTGAAAATTAACATGTTGACCTGAGGTCCGGCCCTCACAAATTGGAGGCCCTGTTCAAATAAAAGGTTATTTAAAATTTTATAATGATAATAGTTAAATACAATGCAACTCATTCAAGTAATACATTAACATTATCAATATGCCATCTTTAATTTGGGCTTACACAAGATTCGTTAAGTTTTTCATATTGAAATAACCTAGTTTCTAACTTTTAAAAGTGATATGTAGTAGTTTCTAATTCAAGCAGACACCTGGTCGAAATAATCCAAATACAACCTTTAGCAAATAATGAAATAATCAAATAAAGAAAAAGTAGGAACCTAAACCCCTGGTCGATGAGTTCAGCTGAAAAAAAATCAAATGTTGGGCATTGAAAGCCCGAAGCAGGGCCCATGCGTTCTTGGTGGGAGGTCTGAACTCTGAAGAACTAGTAGTGTGATCACAACATTTTTTAATTGTTGTCAGAGATCTTTCCTCGGTTTCGCATAATACGACTTACACATCTAATACTTCACAAATATAGGCAACTATGTAATTCAGATTTAAAAAACGCTGGATAAAAATTAGAATTGTTAGGATGTTTTTACTTGAACTGTAATTTGCTAGTCTGATGTAGTCTGAACTGGTCTGATATCTTTGTATTCTTATAACTATCCAAGTCTAGTCTGATCTGGGACAAATTACCATCCAAGTAAAAACATCCTTAATACTTGACTTATATATGGAGGATTTCGGTATTACGGTGTATGGTAAATTCGGACAGGAAAGAAAATTTAGGGAGTAATATTTAGTGCTGGTTTGACAATATCACATTAAGGATGTAATCCAGTAACTGAGTACTCTTATTTATTATTCTGTGATAAATATCTATGGGAATTCAATTTTAATCACAATACAGAGAGGTTGTTTTGGGTGAATCAGAACCCAGTGTTGCCATTCTGGGCTGCCTCTACGCGGTGACGCAATAGTGATATGACATGAGCTGGGTCAGAAGCACCAAAAACAGAACTTCCAGCAACAATGCAGTTTGCTCCAGCTGAAGCAGCCATTTCAATTGTTGAAGCTCCTAAACCACCATCCACCTGTACAACGTACAAAACAGTATTCATTAACCAATCACCCACCTGTAAAAGTAAATGACTATGTGGTCAAAACTCAAAACTGGACCAAGAGGCTACCAGGACCGGGTCAAGGGTCAACCTAGACACAGAGGGTCAGCCCGATCAACAGCTGGCAAATCCGATCAATATTGGTACAAAATAAAATACAGAACATTATATCTCTCATTTATAATCTGATAATCATAGCACATATTCAAAACATGTACTACGTATGTTGCATGCTCACTTGGAATTAGATAGATACTACGGAGTAATATAATATCATACTACCTTCGTCCCCTAAGATTGGGACGAGAGGTAGTGTTGCGGCTATCAAGAAAAGTGAAATTGTCTTATTGACATTGAGTTAATAAAGAGTGAATAAAATAAAAATGAATTGCAATCATCCAAATATTACTAAAAATTATATGAAACAAATTTAGTAGGACAAATTTACAATAATGTTTATTATAAAATCTTTACAAAACTGTAATATTGTGTGTTTCCACTTATATTTGGAATGTTGTATACCCAAGTGGATAGTATAATAATAGCACTAATTGATGTAAGGAAATTTATATTAAATACCCAAACTTTAAAGAGGTGTGAGGTAAGTATCCCAAACTTACATATGTAATATCTATACCGTCAACTTTAAATTTATGTTGTTACGTACATAGTTAAAAATACTCTAAAAATTTATGAGGATTGTATTTAACATTCTAAAGACTCTAAAAATACTCTAAAAAATTTCATGTGTGAAATAAACAACACCTCCGGTCATTGTAGTAGCAACACTTTTAAATTGATATTTGAAAACTCAATTGTTTAGCCTCGTGCATCTTCGGCGCAAGAGCGCTCGATCAGTGAGCTATTACGCACTCTTTGAAGGGTGGCTGCTTCAAGGGAAACCTCCGACACATTCGGCATTAACATATTGAATTGACTATTACTCCCTTCGTATCTCTATATTTGAGCCATTTTAGCATTTTCATATGTCCCACTAAGTTAGTCATATACTTACCATATTTGGTAATATTTGAGCGATTACAATTTATCCTTGCTTTATTCACAATTTATCAATTTAATAACAACCACACAATTCACTTTTCTTAATAGTGGCATCACTCCCCATTGTCTCAATGTTAGGGGCAAAGGTAGTATTAAAGAACCAAGAATGTATGATTCGTGGTGTATTTAAATTTTAATTATTTTTCCCCTAGTATTAGTATCATTATTAATTAATGATTTAGTAATTATTAGTTTCTACTTAAACATGTTACAAAATAAAGGTATAATAACACTTCAAAAACACACAAAACAAACCCGCCAAATTGATTCCTTCCTACAACTAAGTTTTTAAAAAAGAGTACTGTGCAGCTTGCGGGTTGCACTGAGTTTTGGGCCGGGTTAAAAGAGGGTCTGTGGGTTTGGGCAGGATTGGGCTGACATATGGGTTCTCCTTAACTGGCCCGGAAACACAAGTGGGTTGCTGGTTTCCATGCCAGCACACCCAGGCCGGGCCCAATAACACACGTAAATGGTAGATCACTGCCACGACAACAGTTTTTCAGACAAGTAGCAGTTCACCTTATGATTAATTAATTAATAGCCTATATGACATTGTTTTCATACCTCAATGTCGACGGTTGGGTACCTTTTTCTTAGTTCACGTACCTGAAATCAAATTATAAATGTTGGTATAATCTTAAAGAGAGAGGAACAAATGTATCCTCAAAGTTTATACCACATAACATGTATACCTCTCAATTTATTTGGGAATACTTAAATAGTTAAAAACAAAAATTGTAAAGATGGAACAAATATAACATTAAACAATGTATCAAAGAACATACATAACCCTCAACTATTAGTATTTGGACATAAGAACATATTTGTTTCAACTTTACAGTTTTTGGTTAATTGTTCCAACAAAAAGTTGAGGGGTATATTTGTTCTTTGGCATATAGTTCAAAGGCATATACATTCTGTCTCTCTTTTCTCGGAAATAATAAATAAAAAACACCAAAGAGGATGTCCTAATTTAAAAGAATGCACCTTATGCATCATTTCAGGCATAAACTTCTGTCCTCCGAATCCAGGTTCAACAGTCATCACAAGAACTAATTCAACTGAGTTTTCACCTTCAAGCTGTGGAGAATAACATCAGGCAAACCTTATCACATACGAGTATATGCATTTGCAACATACCATGTGATTCTCATCAAACCAAATGAATAAATATCAATACTAAAAAACAATGATAATAAATACCAGCGGAAAGACTTCTTCAATTGGAGTACCGGGCTTCAATGAAACACCAGGTTTCATGCCATTTGATTTTATCCTTTGGACAATTTCCTGCCAATTATCTGCATTGGATAGAGCTAGAGCTCAAATGAAGTAAAAGCAATTATATAACTTGAGTAAAAAAGAAGTCAAGAATTTCACCCTTTGATGCCTCAACATGGAATGTAAAACCTGAAGCACCAGCTTTTCCTAATGGTTCAACATAATCCAGAGGATTTGTCACCATGAGATGGCAATCTAAATATGCACTGTAAGACATGAGAATCCACAGTGTAGTTCAGAAAAAGTTTACTCATTGCTCAACAGGGATATGATATCACATTATCACATCAATGGGAAGATTTTACTCTGTGTGCTTTCTCAAGCTCTCAATAACTGGAGCACCAATTGTTAGATTTGGTACAAAGTGACTGCAACAAAAGAACACAACAAAGTAATTGCGGTCACATTTTGCATGAAGGTAATCACTTGAGTTGCTTTTATTAATTGATACATGTTCCCCATAAGACATGTGTAAGAATAGGTATGCCACACCATAAATTCGACCTACCCGTCCTGCAATCGTACAGAGAAAATTTTAGCCCAGCATGAGTATAAAGTTCGTCAGAAAACAGCTTAGGGATTAAGTAAATGATAAAAGCACAAAGCTGCAACTTCTAATGTAATACGCATGCCATTTTTGGAAGGGCAGAAAATGGGGATAAAAAAGGAAAGGGAAATTTTCGTTTCTCCTAGTTGTATGCACCCAACTCCACTGCTCATTTCTTTCATCTCATCTAACAAATTTATCACCGTTTTTAAATTGTCTCTTACCTTCTTTCACTTATTTTCACCCCTCATATTTTAGTCATTCATACAAAGAAAAAGACAAGACATCTAAAAGGTTCAAATTTGGGGCTAAACCTAAACAAGAATAAGTGAACTTAAAATTTGAGATTGAAATCAGAGCAACTGAACATTTAATCGTAATTTTTAGCTAAACCAACCGAAGGACTACAAAACAAAGCAAGGGAGATTTGTGACTCTAATCTTAAAGTAGGAGAAGTAAAAAAATGGAAGTACCATGATGTCCATATGGAGCCAATCGGCGCCACAGCGGAGCATCTTTTGGGCTTCAGTGGACAAATTGGCGAAGTCCGATGACAGCATCGACGGCGCAATTATGGCCTTCGCCATACCGACGCCTGATGAACCAAACGTTTTCAGCGAATCATAAGACAAAATAGCTGCCAAATTTCAAATGTAACAGCTTTCTGGTATTCTTCTTCTTCAGAGATTCGAAGAATACAGATTAATATATTGATGGAAAAAACAGAGGCAAGAGTAGGGGCTGGGAAGCTTACTCAAGGTCTGAATGGCAGAGTAGAGGTCGCGGAGGAAGCGATAACACGAGCAGAGAGCAGACAACGAAAATAACGATCGCAATGTTATTTTTTAGATTTGAATTAAATAAAATACTACTCCCTTCCAAGTTTGACCGGTACGAGATTATTAATAAAGTAAAAACTGTGGGGTTGAGATTTGTACAGAAGAGAGAATTAACAAAAACCACAAATTCTTTACTTAAAAAGAAAAGTGACAAAATTAGTGGACATCCAAAAAAGTTGACAAAGTTTTAAGGGACGGAAGTACAATTTTAGTTAGTATAGAGCTAGCTATACATATTTGAATCTTCACACTTATCATTGACCGTAATACCGTATAGACTTGCTTCTAGCCTTCTAGGTCGTGAAAAGTCAATCAAATGAAATAAAATCACTGTAGATTGAAAAGTAATGATATTTACATTAATGATTCAATAAGTAACATATTTCATTTCTTAATGACACATCTATATTATAATTAGTTGTATGACATTTCGCATATTTTATTTTGAATATTTTAGCTTTGTCACATACTTTCAGGGTAGGTTGCCTTAGTGTTATATACTTCGTAGTAATTAACCGGTTAGAGTGGTTAGACATGTTTGCATTGGCATCAATTTGTCTTGTAAATATGTTTTTATTTGTATGAAATATATATTATGAAAATGGAACAAAAAACATAAATTTACATTATAATTTTAATTATTTTAATAAATTTGACAATTAAATATTTTCAACAATTTGAATATTCGAATAAGATTCATAAATCCAAAATAAATCAAGTCATACAAATATAAAAATAAGATTCAATACTTAAACAAATATTAATACAATTATACAATAATTTATACGAATAATAATGTCAATTATTTTGGTTCAATACTTTTACAATCCTAAAAAGGCTGGTATGATATCACATAAGACTACAAAAAAAAATCATCCGCAGATCTGTTTTTTGCCGTCAAATTTGCACAAGGCACTGTTACGGAGAAGTATGAGAAGCTTTCTATCTGAACTTTCGAAGTTTTTAACATGTGTTTTTTTACGGTAAGTTTTTAACATGTGTTAGTAGGTTATCAAACCAATGTGAAGTGTTGCTATAGACTTCACGACTGCAGTTTAAGGACTACATTTAGGCAGATTAGGTTCTTTTTGCAAATCCTTGTGCTTATCAAAAAATGATTATTTTAAGATATTCTTGAAAAAGTGATTTATAGTGAAAGTATATAGTGTTTGAAAATAGAAGTGATTACAATTAAAAGGTAAAAGTTGAAATGTTTCATAAAAAAGTGATAACAGATGTAATATATAGTTAAAATACAAAAATACCCTTATCCAAATTAAATAGAGAATCCAAATAAAAATGTAATGGAAGAAGAAAAGCTTTGTATCTTCCTCTCCGCTCGTGAATCAAATCGCCGTCCAATATCCAAATACACAAGCCGCCCATCCAACACACGTCACCGCCAGTTACTTGGCCATCGTCCTTCACGCCGTCATTTTCCCCACTCAATACTTCGACCAAGAGCCATCCCCAGAGGAGTCCTCTTTCTCTTTCCAGATATATACAAGAGAGTCCTGAAAGTCTGACCAACAACGGCACACCAAGGGCAGTGGAGGAAGCCACCTTGGCTGTAAAGAGCTGGATTTTTTAGTTTGGAAGCAGGTGTATTATGTATACAGTTGGGACGGGGAGATCGAACTTGGAACCGGAAGTGGAGGAAGCAGGTGTAGACTGTAGAGTAGAAAGATGAAGGGGGCATTTTGGGCTTAGCTGAAATATTTGATCCAATAAATATCCTTAAAGTTCCAATTATTTACTAAAATACCTAGAAGTAGAAAAGAGCACGCATCACAATGGCTGCTCTCAACTTTTTGTATAGAAGTGCTTAAATTTAATCAGAAATGGGTATTTGCAAACACTCTTTTGACTTGCTGTAACAAAAAAGAGGTGAGAAGTGCTTTTTGAGTTGTGGTTGAGCCTTAAGACTGCAGTTTAAGACTATATTTAAGACTGCAGTTTTTTTTGTCTTCTCAACTGCATCCGATCCTCCACCGAAGCAACTTAATTGGAATTTGGAAGAGAAATGCGACATGTCAGTCCAAGTTATCACATCAGTAACCCAAAACTTTAATTTTCAACATTATAAATATGCTAGTTGGCAACTCTGGAAAACCTAATTCAATTATTCAATCATATCTCAGATATAACAAGTGATCTAGAGACAACTATACTCTCACGAACCAAAAATATACAGAAGGTGATATTTTCATCCAAATCACTGAACGTATGCTAAAAAGGAAACGATGAGCACCAAGATCTGCGAACACCACAGGCCTTAATGCTTGTCTTCCTTGGAAATGTCATTCTTGGGTATCTCCTTGGGTTTTGCTTTCTCCATTTCCCTAACAAGAAAGACGGATGCAAATCAGATTGACAACCCTAAGAAAGAAATATAACACACGCTCCAAAAGAATCAATAGTTAACAGGTTACGAAAGACTTGAAGAAATGTAACACACGCTCCAAAAGAATCAATAGTTAACAGGTTACGAAAGACTTGAAGAAATATAACACCCGCTCCAAAAGAATCAATAGTTAACAGGTTACGAAAGACTTGAAGAAATATAACACACGCTCCAAATGCCTGTCCAAAAAAAAGATGTTTTATGAACTTTGGTGTGTGGTGATGCCATGGGTTTGTTGTTTGAAACTTCTCAGACAAATAATTATGCATATGCAAGTTGGTATTTAGTAAGTGAAAAGTCCAAAATATACAAACTACCACATTCCCTAAATAAACTTCACAACATGAAGTTCATGATAACCAATATCCATCTTCGACAACTATTATTTCCAATTTTTTACTATAAATATAATAAAGTAAGGAATATTATATATACTAGAACTAACTGCTCAAAAGTATTTCTACGTTATATAATACTATTGTATGTAAGAAATTAAAAGTAAATATTACGGAGTAATAAACTATGACTTATGAAGTCAAAGTGTTAAGTTTACTCAGAGATTATAGGGAGAGTTAGTTTATATTTTATTTCAAATGTTATTATTGTACATTGTTATTTAATTTGTAAAATTTAACATTACATGCTATTTCACTTGGTTGTAAAGTTTCTTTAATGAGAGTAATTTTATATTCTTATAAGTTAAGCACTGTCAGTAACGGTTATTTAATGGTAGTGTTTTCTTATATTTCTTTAAACTTGATGGAGATGGCCACCAATTTCTAAAGCATTTGTCCTGTACAAGGTAGTCAAACTCGAGATCCTACGTAGGATCGGATATTGGAATAAGGATCGTAAATCGTAGGATCGTGACTCGGATCGTAAGATCCTACAAAATATATACTTACATATACATATGCATATATATATGTGTGTGTGTATGTGTAATATGTATACATATAGTTAGAAAATAAATATAATTGATAAATAATGATCAAAGGAGATGTTTATAATATAATATCAAATATTTTGGGTACTTAAAGACTTGAAACAAAAAGAGTTGACTCATAATTATATAATTAAACATCTAAAAATTAACTTACAATACTCCGTATGTTATAAAGTAATTAAAGCATCAATAATTTGTTAAATTAACATCTAATAAATTAATTTACAGAAAGCACACAAACAATCCACTTTATTAAATTTAAAGTAATCAATTAATTTACAGTAGACACACAAAGCATCATGCGTAATTATTTACTAATAAAATGTTTTTTGAAAGGATTTACTAATAAAATGCTACGGAGTAGTAAATAAATTAAAGTATCAATATTAATATACTATCGTATAACATAATTAATACGAGTATATAACATTATAACATATACGGAGTACGATAGTACAAGCTAAAAAACAAATTAGCTGAGCGCACTTTTGGAACCGGGAGATGAAGTCGGCTTCGAGTCTTCTACGTAGAGGTGGAGGCTTCGACTCAGTCGGGCCTCAGAATGGAAGTCGTCGGTGATTCTGCTTCGAAGGGAGTAGCAGAACAAGCAAATCGAAGGTGATGATGCTTCAGTCATTGTCTGTTTTTTTCCTTCCACCGTCGCAAACGACTCGCCGATTCTGTACGTTCCTACGAGTGAGCGCTCCTACTCGGCGATTCTACCGATTCTCCTTAATCTACGATTCTTAGTACAAACGGGATCGTCAGTCTGGTTTTAGATCGTATAATCGGACGATCCTACGATCTGACTCGCGATTTTGACTACCATGGTCCTGTACCTGATAGATATTATGACAAACCTCAATGCAGTTCATTGATATCTTTCCTTGTGATAAAGTACAATTCTCGAAAACACCAGCACTACTAACATTTTCACATTCACTAGTAAGTGAAGCTATACTTGGCATACTTAACTTGTTTGAATTACTCCCTCCGTCCCATTTTACCTGACTTACTTTCCTTTTTGGGTTGTCCCAAAATAAGTGTCACCTTTCCCTTTTTGGAAAGAAATATATGGTCCACAACATTTCACTTTATTATACTCAAATCTCAACCACAACTTTTACTTTTTCAACAACTTTATTAATAATTGTGCCAAAGTCAAAGGAGACACACAATATGGGACGGATGTAGTATTATTTTGGATAAATGGGATTAAGAGCCCATTTGATCAGGGTTATTGGGGTGAAATAGCAAGATCTATTTAGTTTTCTGAAAGGGGCCTAAATTCAAAGGACCATCAATGTGTGTGTATAGGGTGTGGTTTTAATAAAAAAGGGTGTATCACGTGAAAAGTGCGAAAATTTCACTTTTTCTTCATTGCAGTCCACTTTTAACTTCAAGTACTACAAATTTTTGAGGTGGAATGTAAACGTTCACATATTTAGGAAAATGTCACCACATTTTAAACCCAATCTGACACATTATTGGCGATTTTAAAGCCATTAGATCTCGAGTCCAATGCACGGAAATCATTCTCATTTTTTACATTAAGACTTCTTTCTTTTTTAACCAAAATATATGTATATATATAGGTTGCAGATCAAATAAAAATCAGTCGTCCCGTGAAAACTGAAAATGCTTGCAGTGTTTCCCTAATTCGATGCATTATTAGATTTATATGCTGCACCTTTTCACAATGATAGAAATCTTTGATTCATTTATGAAAATGCTACAGTGTTTTCATATCTGCCGCTTTGTTGGGATGACTCCACCAAAGTGCATTAAATTGAGTAAAATGTAACGGTTTGCAGTTTTCACAATAACAGTGGTTGTTATCAGAACCGCACACTATATACCTGATATATATAGTGCAAATGTTATGTCAGAAAACCAAAGTCGTATTAGCAACCAGAAAGGATCATAGGGAAGGAAAATGGCCGAATAAAAGAGGAAGGATAAGAACATGTATGATAATGCATACACTAACACACGCATAAGTACTAAAAAGAGGGCGAAGGTGGAGAACATACTTGGTGGCAGAGGCAGATTCTTCCTCAAGCCAGTTGCGAATTTGACGAGCATTGCGGCGGAAAATGGCAGCCGATTGCTTCACATCACTACGCATCATTAGTATGATAGCACTAACTCCGACTACCGTCAATACAAAGTTGGTTAGGGCCATTCCTTCTTGAAAGATTCCTCAGCTTGGACCTAATTCCAATTAATAGTTAGACACTATTGCATTTTCAATTTCCACGGTTTATAGAGAAAGTGCAACTTGGAAACCAAATATAATTTTCGCATGGTCAGCCCCTATCCTCAATAGTTGCAATTTATATGTTTTTAAATGAAGCTTGGTGGTGATAAAGGTTTTCTTAGATTGAACAGAGCGAAGAGAAAGCCCCAATGCAGAGTGAAAGGGAAGGTCCCTCTTTGTGACACTTTCCAATCCCCAGCACATGATTTATTAGTTACTTCAAGATGAATATGTCTGGGTAAATACTACATACTGTATAACAAACAAAACTGGCCAGTGGAGAATTCATAGAGCACCATAAGTATGGAAGCACCGACGACAGTAGAATACATCAAAGCTCAAAGAGCAAAACTATCATACACAAATAGCTTAATATGCCCAGAAGAATAAATTAAATAAACTAACAATATTAATACTGATATTGCAATTTTAGTAGTTCCAGAGTTTTGGAGACTGGAGAGTAGCTCCAGAGTTTTTCCAAAATGAAACCAACTATGTTATCACAGAGTTATCGATAGCAGATCACAAATAATGGAAGAAAGTCTAAAAATAGCTATATAATATGAGAGATAGTGTTGCGGTCTAAGTAGCACCGGGACGGAAACGGAAACGGATACAGGGACGGAAACGGGGACGGGGAAAAGCTAAACTCAAAATATCAAGAAACGGGTACGGCAAGGAAACGTCAAACTAAAAATTAATTTTTTAGTAATATAGGTTATGTTTATGTCCAACAAATAGAAAATAATTAAACAAAACATACGTCCTTGTAATAATCCATTCAACAAACACAATAAATAAAATTAAAAAATAAATGTTTCATTTGGTGATAAACACTCTCTCCAATTCCGGCTCATCTAAGATAAATTAGCGAACTCCACAAAGGTGTATTATCAACACCAACAGACAGGGGCGGATCCAGAAAATTACAATGGGTAGGGCTGAGGGAAAAATGAAAGATTGACGAAATCAACTTCTTCCTTTTAATGTTAATATGTTCATTATCCATTCTAAAAAACATTTTCAATGTTGGTATGAATCAAAATAGTTCTATAAAAATATAAAATTATAAAACTAATAAGGAAAAAAACATTGTACATAAAATTAATAAGTATTCCCAATTTCAAAATTCAATTGAATTCTTCAATTTTTTCTTGCGTGTCCAGACAATAATCAAATGATTCTCTAATCTTCAATTGTATTATCAATAAATCATTCTCTAAGATTTAATTTTATATTTAATCACTATAAATTTATAATAATTTTTTGCCCCATTAGATCTATTTTATTATGCATAGAAAATTTCAATTGATAATCAAACCAATCTAACCCAAGGACGGCAGAGAGTAAAAATTTCAATTAATAATCAAACCATTCTCTAATGTACAAGTTAACAAAATCTCACAAAATAAGAGAGTAAAAATCTGAAGACTTACCTGCGCCAGAGCTGGAGGCAGAGCCCAGAGAGGAAGGACGGCCAAGTGGTCGACGACGCAGTCTCCTGGATGGCTGGAAGCGCGGCGTGGACGGCGGAACGCGGCGCGGCTGATGGTGTTCGCGCTTCGTAGCAGAGCTCGCTTGTGCCTCCGTCTTTGTTCTAATTTCTTTCTCTCGCGTTCGCTAGGAAGTTGAATATTGAGGCTTTGGGCTGTGGGCTGGAAATAAATTTTGGGCAGGGAATAAATTTTGGGATGGGCTGATAATAAAATCTATACCTACACTAATTAAAATAGTGGAAATATCCCGTTAGATCCACTTTATCTAACTGAATTTCATTTATGTTCCCGAATTATTTAGTTTTCATTTATAGACTTTCACCTTTTCAATTTTAGTTATTTATTTCAAAAATATCCTAATTCCTAAATCAAAACTTAAACCCAGGCAGTCTCCCTCCCTATTCTCCTAGATCCTTTGTCCATCCTCACGATCTCCTGGAGAATTGAACTGAAACTTGAGTAGATATGGCAGGGACTTGCGCGGTTGTTCCCTTCCTACCGTGCGCGGTTGCGGCTGCTGTGTTCTCCGGCCTCCTCCCTCCCTCCGCATCTCTGCCCTTTGTCCCTGCTTGCCCGGCTGCTTCGGTGTGTATTTAATCACTTTATCTTCAATATGACTTCGATTTATTGCTTTGTTCATAGATTTTTGGATTTAGATCTCATATTAGTATTTCTGGTACTGTTGATGTTCGACCATCTCAGATTCATATTTGCGGTACTGTGTATGTACGATGATCTCAGATTCATATTTGCTTCAGAGTGGTATTTAATACTCTGTATTAAATTAAACTCAAGTATCATATTTTTCTTCTTAGATTCATCTCTATCTGATATTTCCAAATGTAGCAATAGTTTTATTGACTGATCGGAATTTCTTTGAATTTCTCATTTGAACTTTTAGTCTTAACTCAAATTTCTTCTCATTTTGTAATAACGTTTTCTGGAAATTCACATTTATTCATGTTGACTTCTTCAAATGGAAATGACCCATACTTTTTCCTTGAAACAATCTGTTGGCCTTTCCTGCATAGTGCATACCAATCCCTTCGTTATTAGAAAAGGTTTCTATAGTTGTAATACTAATAGCATAGAATTGGATCCCAAAGAGCTCTTCCTGTAATCAATCCTTTCTGTCCTCAACCAAAGAGCCTAAGTGATCCATATTTGTCATTCCTATATGTTTTCTTTTTGGCTTAATCACTACATGAGATGACACTTTCAGGTAGAGTTTGTCAACGTTGGGGTTTTATGTTTTGAAGGCTTTTGCTTTAATTTAGTTTTTATTTGGCATCATTGATATTCAATTGCGCTCAGTAATAGCTTATAGTAATTTGACCTCTCCTATGTAATATAGTTGCTACACTTTCAACTTATGTGTTGCTTTGAACAGAGTTTTGTAAACACTCGAAAACATATAATTTGTATTCGGTGCCTATGGCATGGTAAGGACATATTAGTGTGTGTCCCTGTCATTCTATTGTAAGGACATATATGATCAGAGAATGTGAATTGTGATGTGCATGCTAGTATGCTACAGTGTGCACTTTTCAAATTTTGATTAATAAAGTAGTACTGGTAGGTTAACTTATATATTCCTAATGTATGATGATGTGGTATTTCGGTGGTTGTTTTAGCTTTGGATGTAGTTTCTGTTAAATAAATGCACTAGACCTCCACCTCATCACATATATTCAATGTTGTTCCATAAACTACTTTTTAATTATACATGGTTTCATGAAATTATTTGCATGCTAAAATTTGATGGCTAGTAATATGGATGGCATCTCAGGCACCTTCCTTCAAATAACTTGTCATTGAATGTCCAGTTTTTGAGGTACTTCATTTGCTTCTAAGACCATGAGTCTCATGATCTTGTTTTCATGGGCAACACGTTATAATTGCAGGTGAATAATAGAAGATGTAGAGATGATAATAAGATCGAGAAAATCAACGAGTAAAGGAAGATAAAGAGACAAACTTGATGGATTGTGTGTTAAAATCATAAATGGAAGAAGAGTGAAGAATGGAGATGATCTTGTTGGAGATGATCTTGTTTGTATGTTTTTGGTTTCTTATTGTTGTATCATATGCAGTATTTTTTGTTGCATCGTGTTGTTTTTTGTTGCGATATGTTGTTTATTGTTGTATCATGTTGCTTATTGTTGTTTTTGTTTATTTAATTTTTTGTTGTTTATTTAGACTTCTATTTGCCTTTGCTACATCCTTAAAATCAAAATACGTGTATATATTTATATACAAAAAGCTAAAAAAAAATAAGATTTATGAATATAAACAACAAGAAACACAAAGAAACAATAAGCAACAAAAAAATGGTAATCATCAACACAAAGAAACACATAGAAACAATTGTCAACAAAAGCTAATAATAAAATAACAAAAATAATATTCCATAATGATTACAAAAAGTATAATTAATTTCAAAATTATTATATTAGAAAATTCGTATTGTTTAATTTTCAAACTTTTTTTAAAGTTCATTATCTTGATATTTTTCAATTTTTATTCTCTAATTTATTTTAATATTACACTCTTTTAGGTTACAATAGTTGTTTTCTGATTTTTATAATGTTTTATATTTTTATTTTTTCCACTATTATATAAATTTAATTTAATTTTTTGAATGCTTTCAAACATTTTATTGTATTTGATTTTTTATTTTTGTTTAATTTATATTTTTCTAATTTTTACAAAATAATTACATCACCATAATTTTTTGTTTAGTTTTTATATTATTTAGTATTTAACTTTTTTAATCTTATTTTAAGTAATTTTTAATGATTTTAAGGTTACTGATTTTTTAACTATTTTATAAAGAATACATTTTTATTATATCTATAAAATTTATATATTCTATACGGAGTATAAATTATATTAACTATTTTTAACATTTTTCAAATTTATATATTTATAAATCAAATTTAAAAATTTATTATGTAGTACTTTATAATATGTTTTAGTTAATAAAATAAAAACTTGTTCCATAGATATTTTAAAATGTTGTACCATAATTTTTAATATTTTCAAAACCAGTTTTATAAGTTTTTATAATTTCTTAATATTCTAAATATTTTAGAGCTTTTTTTTCATTTTTGAGTAAGTTTTATTTATTTAATTATATATTTTCACTTCTAGGGTATGTACGTGTTTTGATTATTTTTATTGTTTTATACGTGTTTTTTAAACAAATAAAGGAGCACTTGTTCTTTGATTACAAAGTGGGAGTATGGAGAGTTTAGGCTACGGATTGCACGCTTTGTTGAAATAGATTCCTCACTTCCAGGTTCCAGTAGGTCGATTAAATAGACGGTAGTCTATTTTTGAAAGAAAAAGTTTGGCTAATCTATTTTTGAAAAGAATTTTGAAGGGTGATAAAAGTGATATTATTTTCACTTTTTAGGCTATTTGTGATAAATTCCCATTAAAATATACAAATTGGGCTGGGCTGGAGCCCACTCCTGCCCTCACAGCCATCCGCCCCTGCCAACAGAACTGCCCGAACCACTCGCACCATCACAAACTTCTGTACGTGCCATATTTGAGGATAAATAAAGGTCGGCAGCACTTACTTGAACGTAGTAACGTACAATCAATAGAAATTAAATCAGTGAAGCCTCACACCCAAATACCCTTGCTTTCTGCCCTTCTCTTCAGACCCTTTCTGCAAAATTCCCCTTGCTTAATTTCTGCCCTTCTCTTCAGACCCTTCCAGCGAACCAGCACTCCAGCGAGTCCAGGCGATGGCGATGGTCTCTGTCTCAGCACTCCAGCGAAGCAGCACTCCAGCGAACAAGTTGAAAGAGATAATACGGAAACACGTCGCAGGACTCGCAGGTATTTTACGAAGAAGACAAACCCGATCGATTAACCAACCCTTTTTTTTTAATTTCACCAGAAACGCGTCGGCCCACATTAATTAACGTTTCCGAAACGTTTCCCCAACCCGGCCCAACGGCCCAAGACCCCAGAAACGTTCCCCAGCGTTTCGAAGCTGTTTCCCAGCGTTTCCCCCCGTTTCGCGGAAACTGTCAAATCACAGTATAGAGAAAATATATTACACTCTCCTACTCAATACTCACCCAATTTAACACACAGGGCATGTTTGGCAATCGGTTAGCGATTAGTGGATTATGTTAGCGGATTGCTAATGGCGGATTGTGTTAGCGGATTTGACCAGCAGATTCATTTAGCGGGTTGTAGAAAGATGTTTGGTATATCAGCTGTTTGATTCTAGCGATTAGTAGATAAAAAGACATATAAGGACCCCCGCGAATATTGTTAATCTATAACATTTAACCGACCTTCATATTATTGTGTTTATCTATAGGTCTTACTGAATTACTCAAACTCAAACCACAATTATACGAAGTACTTCATATGTTAGTTGTAGCCTCTCAACCTATAATTTTCTCAGGCAAAGCAGAGTTACCTCATCGATTAAAAGCACAAAAATTACAGCAGTAGAGTGTTCGAGTTCTAGAGAAGAGGAAATCAGCCACCAAAAAGCACCGTACATGTATCTTCCATAGGAAATCAGCCAAGATGCTAGACAAAAAATTCTTACAGGGAACACTACTCCACTGTGCTTTGAGAAAAAAAATTAAAAATCTTCCCTGAAGATCTGTTTAGTGCGTGTCTTCCATAGCAAATCAGCCACCAAAAGCACCGTACCCTAGAGGGATACGCTTCCCGTAGCTGCAGCAAGAACAAATCCAGTGAAGAGGAAAGGGTAGAATTGCGAATCAAGTAATTATTTGAAAACGCCAATTCTAAACGCTCCTATATCTAGCGATTTTGTTTTTGGCAGATTCATCCAAAACGCTAGACTCAATCGCTCTTTACCAAACGTCAACAAACAGCAGTTTCAACCATTGAAAACGCCACTGGTCAAACCCTCTGTTTTTAGGCGGAAACGCCAATTCCCAAACGCAGCCACAGTCTGCTTGAAATGATCAAAATGGTTTCCTGCAGTTTCTTATATTTAACTATCACAGCGGTGGAGAAATAAATTTTAGTAATATTAATTAGGAATTTAGAAGTTAGAACTAAAATTAAAATCTCAGGCGTAATCCTAGTAACCAAGGTTTAAAAAGGCTGGTTAAGGTATCAACTATCAAGGCGGTTTGTTCCGGAGAGGCAAGGCGTAAGCCTAAAAAAACCAACAGATAAAACATAAAATAGTTAAACTAATAATAAGCAACTAAAGTCCCATACACAAACACATATATAAACACAAGCCATTCATCATGAGCTCTGGAAAATCATCAACCAAAAGGTTTTCCTCATCATTGGTTAGGGACCGTAATTTAAGGTGTCCATTTGTTAGGTACCCGTACAGTCGGACACTAGTCACACTACTAATAATTTGAGCCTTGTTAAGTAATAATAATAATTTTGTTCGATAATAGGGTTTAGACCTTATAGTAATTATTAGAAGTGGGCTGGCCCATTAGAAATAGGATAAATGAGTGTGAGTGATGAGTCGAGTGGCAGGTAGAATTTTGGGATCGGGACTGGGAACTTGGGAGTGTGAGGCTACTCGAAGAGTCTCGACATTTTCTTACGTTATTTTCTGTATTCCAACCATAAATCTTCATTAATATATTATTATCTACTGGGATTCCTCTGTTACCTATCACTATTCTTTCTGTCTCTTGTACAACCTTGACCAGTTTTAAGAAAACATAACCAAAAAATCAGTACAAGAAGGAGAAGAGGAGAGATAAAGAAGAAGTGAAGGAGAGAATATGAAGAAGGAGAAGAGAGGTAGAAGAAGAGGAGTAGATGAGGAGAAGTGAAGTTACCTTGAAGAATGGAGTGTGTGTAAGAAATTCTCAAATTCTTTGTGCAGGAGAATGAAAACTTCTTTGTGCAGAAGTATGCAAACATTTTAACGATTAAAGAATAATTTAAAGAAAACAAGACTTGCTAGGAGTTTGGTGAGCACTATGGACACATGTTACAACCGGTTAAAAGATAGAAACAAAGGAAATTGTGCCTCAGAAAACGCCTCAAGGCGTACACCTCAACTTTTGAGGTGTAAGGATGATCTCGTCTGATTTGGTAAACGTATGGTCTCTGTGTATTTTATAACTGCAGAAGTCTGGTCTGGTCTGGGACTGAAAACAGTCCAAAAAATAACATCCTAAGCCTCTTGACCTGCAAAAAACTAAACCCTGATACCTTCTCTGTACACCTCACTTTGAGGCGTGCCTCAAAACCCGCCATGTAAGTGCCTCTTTAAACATGCTAGTAAGTAGTAACCCACTAACATTCAAAGTTTTCGTAAAGGGAAGTCTTAATAAACTGAATAAGAAACAAAAACAGCTGCCAAGTTTCACTTTTAACAGCTTCTAGAATTATTCGTCCTCATTAAAATATAAACATTGTAATCAATGTTATGTTATTTGATTTCATTATGGATTGTGCATTCATTTCATTGGACGGTAAATTTCTTAAGCAAAAAATTGTAAATTCATATCGAACTGAATATGCTCTATCACAAATTTTGTTTGAAGTGTATGAATTACTTGTTAAATTCGACTATGGATAATTCATGCCTAATAAATAAGAAACTCAATCACATATTAATCAAAGAGAATAAGATAAAAAGTTAAAAACCACAATTAACTACAAATTCAAAAATTAAGAAGATTATATTGATTAATATACTTAAATAGAAACGTAGGAAACCTAAATTGGACACTCCCTCAGCGGAATCAGCAGTCGCAGGTCAGCGCCTCAAACACTCCCTCAGCGGAATCAGCAGTCGCAGGTCAGTGCCTCAGACACTCCCTCAGCGGAATCAGCTGTCACCGGTCAGCGCCTCACCGGTGTGATGGTGCCTCCCTTCACTCGATTCCAGAGACCGGTGTCGAGGCTTGGTGGCGCTCGGTAATCTTCAGCGACTCGTCCCGTCGTCCCCTTGACGTTTGATCTTGGATGCTGATTATCCTTCTGAGATTTGGGGCTGCGGCATGGTTTGGGATAGGATAGGCTGCCGGTACCGACTGTCTTTTCGTTTTTACGGCCCAATCAAAGATTACATGGTACCACTTAGTTGTGTTGGTTTGTACTCCGTACTTTTTTTCTGGGCCTTCAATTTTGAAGGGCTCTGTGCCATTACACTGGATGCCTTGCTGTGGACTGGCCCTGCACCTAATAGTAAAAGCTAATAGTTTTTTTTACATCTCTTTCTAACCTATATAGTATCTGCTCAATGACAATGCCAACATCCTTGAACTGGGATGGGATTCGAACCTGTGAAAACTACCGGAACACACGGACTGAAATGCTCTGCTTTTAGGGTTCTCCTTCCATCGATTTTTTGTGTGGCTTTCCTTCCGCTGACTGTTCGTGCGACTTTTCTTCTCTAGGATTCTAGAGTGCTTT